TTTGCAAAGCTTAGGCTGGCAGTATGTATGTTGGATTTGGAACTCTTACCTATTTTTTTTTTCTTATTGGTTTCTACGGGTCATTCATTACGTGCATTCTTGTAAATAATTATTATCCCCATTAGGCACATTGAAAGCGGAAAATAATCCTCCAAACCAAACCCTAAAGAATCTAAAGGAATTAGAAGTTAAAACGGCGACTAATAGAGGTGGTGAGGTGACGTCACTGCTAGGCTTCCTTAGAGGTGATGAGGTGAAGTCTCTGCCGGGCTTCCTTCAGCAGAAGCTAGAGGTGTTGGTAGCACTCATGAAGGAGTGTTTCCGTTTATCTCTGGGTGCTGTTGAGTGTTTCTTTGGGAAGGGTTCAACCCCCTTAACATGACAGGCAGAGAGAAAATCATACACGAGATGACTAGGTTAAAGGCATTCCTTCAGTGAAATGGTTGCCTGAGGTTGGCAGTCATGGCTGACACTGCTTCTGATGCAGAATGACAGATTTGGGTTTGGTGGCTGTGAGAGCCAAAGAAGGAGGATGGCAATGTGTGGTAGAACCTGGACAACTGCAAGACCAAACCAGAAAAACAATAGAAAATGTGAAATGAACAAAAGCTAACATGGGAGCTCTTAGGGAGGTAGGCGAGCAGGGACAGAACTCTTATCTGAGTAATCAAGACAGGGCCAGCAGCAAGTCTGTCCTCTTTTTAAATGAATGAAAAGTCTGTGTTTGTTCAGGTTTCCCCCCTAAACTTAAAATGGTTATTCACTTTTTTTGATGAACAAATTCTTTCTATTAACAGGAACCATCTGAAAATAATTAAGATCATGAAATAGCAGATGTAGATCATACTTGAATACAATGAATATTTCTGTATGTATTTATGTCAATTCTTCCTTTGGGAAGTGGTCAGTCTTCATTTACCTATTTCATTGGGACAGACAGTTTCTGTCCTTTTCGCCTTTTGTTCTTACCTTCCACAGGGCAAAATTGTGTTTGCTCAGGACTTCCCCAGTCTTCGAGTCAGGTTTGTAATTTGAAGGCTACAATGAAAGCATTGCCTTTAGAATCATATTTAGGGGATATTTTTTCCACATTTCTTTCTGTGTTTGATTGATTTTTGTGCTACATTTTAGATTGGGACTTATTCCCTCTCTCTCTGTGGTAAATCAATCTGGATATGTTTGCAGATAGACACTGACAGGGAATTTTAGATTAGGTAACATGTTCAAGTTCATAAACACTGTAAATGGAAAAAAAAGCCTCAAGTGCAGGAATGAGTTCACTTTATGGGATGAAGTAGACCTAATTCTAGAATTGAAAGTGACAGTAATTGTGACTTCCAACAGATCACAGAAATCAAATTCTGATGCAGATCCAGGAGTTACATGGTGGACAATATCATTAGAACATGAAAATTACTATGACACATTTTGCCTATGAGATCAATAGCAAAAATTCTAATTCTATCACTCAGTTGATAAGTCAGCTATGAAGTAGAAGGCAGGCCCAAAGCTTACCTACTGAAAATTGCACTTGCCATGTTTTATGGTTTCAAATGTGATGCTGCCAAGGCCTTGCTATGATTCACAAAGTGACTTACTGACCACATCATCACTTCTGTACACAATACTACACGGATTACCCATCCACAATTAGTTAAAACAGTAAATATGTCTTATCTCTGTGGATGTTGTTGGTTCAGCACCTTTTATTAGGCTGCATTTGGGGTATGAGCCAGGGCTGTAGCTTCATCTAAAGGAATGCCTATTAGGAGTTGCTCTCAAATGCACCCTTGTGGTGACTGGGAGAATTCTGGGACATTTGTCTGAGTGTCTCAGTTCTGGGCTACAGCCTGAGGACTCACTCACATGATGGCTGGCTGCTACTAGGGCAAGGACTTGAGAGACTCAGAGCAAGTGAGCAAGACAGAAGTCACCACCTTCCAAAAACCTAACCTTGAATCTCACCATGCCTTCATAATATATTCATTGAAAGTTAGCCTGTTAGGTTCAGCCTACAGGCAGACAAAGATTGATACAAGGGTATGAATACCATGAGGAAGAATGCATCATGTTTCATACTGACTGCTACCAACATTTACCGATTTTTTCCATGTTGAGGGTTCCCCCACCCCATAGCTAAAGTATTTAAATTCTTCCCACAACCCATAGTACTCATAAAATTAAAAAAATAATTATTTGCTCGTAAGGCCTGTCTACCTGCTGTTATGGAGCAGATGTGAGGCTGGATTCAGATATGAAGGGCACAGGGCAAAGAGTTCTAGTCTACCCAAAGACACTTGAAGAAATTTAGGTATTAATTACAGAATAAGAAGGAGTAAGGCCATTCCAAAGAAAAGGGGAACAGATGGTGGGAAGACTGAAGGAGGACGAAGAGTCAGGGGTGATGTTTAACATCTGTATCTATAAACCTACCAAAGCACCCAGAGAGTATAGTGATTGTTAATACAGTGGTTACAGTGAGTATTAAAACCCATTAAATATGAAGTTTATGATTGTTTCCATTTTACCAGGTTGGCCTCCTAGATTAACTTTGCTTTTCCTTGTAAGTGTACACAATAATCATGTTGCTTCCCCTCCTCATTTGGCTGCTGCTGGAGATGACATCTCAAGCAGAGTATACAGAACACAAAGGGCTAAGCAGAGCTTACAATTTATATTTATTTGTTCAATCTGCAATCCCACCTGATAATTAAATTCAAACAAAAATATGTCCTGCTTCTGATATACAAAAAACGGAGGATTGTGTTAGTTTGAATCCTGCTTCCTGTAGGTGCTGTGTAAACTGTGAATATGCACATCATGGAATTAACATGAAGTCCCTTAACGGAGGACTAGAATTCAAGCTACTCCGGAAAGATGCTCCATATATAACCTTACTTGCACAAAATAATCTGATTTATTTATTCCAGGAAGAATTTTACAATAAATCACTATACATAGCAATAGGAAACTGAGCTAATGGTCATACATTAAATTGATCATTTGGCTCTAATTTTCAGTTTTTCATTTTAGAGAGTTTTGAACACATATACAAGCAAGTAGAATACTCACCATCACATTCTAACAGCTCTCAACCCATATGAATTCACCAACATCCACACTCCTAATTACTCCCTGCTATATTATTTTGACACTTGTTCCAGATGCTGTTATCATTCATCTGTGGATATTTTACATTTCTAAAGGATAAGCAGTTATCTTTCTAAAATAAAATCACAGTATGGGTTTCTCCCCACAAAAAGAAAAAGAGGAGAAAAGAAAAGGAAAAACAAAACAATATTCCTTTATTGTTTAACACTTAGATTTCTATTCTTTTGTTAACTTTCTCCATAAAGGATAAATGGATAGAAATTGATAGTTTTAAATCAGGTATGGTTTTACTTACTGGAAGAATCCTGGCAGTAGTGGAATTATTGTCCTAATAAGTGGGGGTGCTACTGGGTAAAGCCAAGGCTCACACTAAAGATGCAGGGCAATATCTACAGAATAAGTAAATGCTTGTTCCAAAATGTCAGTAGGTGCCACTGTCGATATACACAGTTAAGGCAGAAGGAAATGGGGGTGGTGGCGAATAGTAGCTATAATGGATAATAATTTATAAATAAGAGAGATAGAAAATGGTCAGACATCTTTTTAATAGCCAAATTAGTGACTAAAATGGATTTATAATTGAAAAGGCAATTTCAAATATATAGTTTTTCCAATCAAAATGTTTAATAGTAAGATAACTTGTTTTCTTCTTTTTTAATAATTTATTTTGTGCAAGCATACTCATGCCTTAGCACACACGTGAAGGCTAGAGGACAAATTCTCAATGTCCACTCTCCTTCCACTATGTGTGCTCTGGCGATTGAACTCGGGGTTCTCAACCTTGACTACAAATGCCCTAACCTGCTGAGTCATCCTACTGGACCCTCACATTTTCAGGGTTAAAGATTAGCAGTGTGATAAAGGCATATTTGTGCCAAGTGGAAATCAAGTAGCCCAGACAGAAACAGCACTTCTTGCTTGGGCAGCAGACTCAAGGGAGGTGGTGAACAAAATGTTTGACAAACACAAACACAATCCAGCATCTTCAGTGTAAGAACAAACGAGAAGTGTTTTGAATTGGTGAATGATAGTATGTAGGAAATGGATTTCTTTTGTGTAAGAGACACGCTGAATGCTAAGTCTTGTTGGCATATTTCAAGATGAAAACTGATATTAGTTACTTTAATTCAGACAGAGTTCTGCTCATTATCTTCTACATAGAACCCCTGGCAATAATTTACCTAGTAGGACAGTAGTTCATACAGATCAAAGCAGTGTTAGTTAAGTGTGTCCAGAGGGCAGGTTTTAGCTCTATGCCTTCCTCTTTACAGGAGGGAAAAAAAAGTTTTTTTTTTTTCTTAAGAGACAAAACATACTTAACTAAATAAATATTTTAAGCAACTAAGTCCGACACTACTGAAAACTCACATGGATTCTTCCAACTATTGGGGAAGAAGTATTTCCAGACCCCAAATCTTCTCAAATCTGAGGGGAATATAGAACAAAAAATGTAAAATATAAAATAAAATAAACGCAGTCTCTCCATGTGAACAGCAACATTCTTTTCCTTCCATTAAACTTGAACGTGAATTAGGCTCCAGAGAGGACATGGCTGAGGCGTGTGGCAGTTTTGACAGCGCTGTGCCTTGCCTGCTTCAGCTTGCAGACCAGTAAAGCCCAACTCAGAAGTCTCAGGCAATCTGTGTAGCAAGCTCCTCCTCTTCTGCAGCCTCCTTCTCCATTGGTAAAATTCTTGTGCAGGGTCATGTAGGGATCCCACCCCTTCTCTGTGTTTTCACTCTGAAGCTCTACACAACTTCACACCTGAATGAACGCCAAGCCTCTGTGGATATATAAAGGGAACCTTGGGGAGGAATTCCACAGTCAATAGTGCAGGAGCAAGGGAGAGAATTAAGCGGCTCCCCAGCCAAGCAAATCCCCCACTCAGCATGCTTCCTCTTGCCATTCATCTCTATCTCCTCCCAGTAATGTGCATCCTAGTGAAAAACTGCTTGGCTTTTAAAAATGATGCCACAGAAATCCTTTATTCACATGTGGTTAAACCTGTTCCTGTACACCCTAGCAGCAACAGCACGTTGAATCAAGCCAGGAATGGAGGCAGGCATTTCAGTAGCTCTGGACTGGATCGCAACAGTAAGTGTGTTTTACTTGTACAGGTTTGTTTGTTTTGTTTTGTTTTGTTTTCCTTTTGGGGAGCATCAGCCCCCATTCCTGTAGAATGGTTTTATTGTATACTACTGTGAACCATGTATGTTTTGCAAGGAAATCTGGGAGCAATCTGCTGCATGTGTAGGCTGGTGTTCTTTCCTGGCTAGTGATTTTAGAGTTAATGTAATTAAAACGGTGGCTTAATAATGCAAGCACAGACGTGGCTTGTCCAATACCCACCGAAAAGTCTATCTATGAATTAATCTGTTGCTTGTTTAAAACTGCAAAAGGAGAATTCTTTAAGGTGTTGTTCTGCGCAGTTTAAACTCATGCGGTCTTACATTTTGTAAATTTCAGAACATACCCAAATTTGGTGAAGTGACTAATGGTAACTAAGTAGAAATATGATTAGGGAATCACAAAGGATGAAAGGAAGCTTTCAGGCAACACAAAGTTGCTCACACAGATGTCTAAAATATGTCTCCTTCAGAGAGGTGTAAAGGTTTGATGATGTTCATTTTAAGAGAGGTCTATACTACAAAATGTTAAAGAAGTGTGTTTCCCAGAAGTCCTTAATCAACAGGTTGAATTGAGGTAATTGTGTGTTTCTGTGAAGGACTGAGTGCATATTTGTAACAGGAGATTTTAAATAATTGTATGCTAATGTTTAGCTCAGGGAGTATTTCTTTACCCCTTTCGATTTGCTTAATTGACATGCCAAGTGACTACTGGTTAGAGGTATTCAGATTTCTTCCCCTCACTTTTGCTTTATTCTCTTCCTTTAAAAGAGTTCACATTAGTAATCATCTTGAAGAAAGACAGGAGACAATGTGCAGGAAATCTTACACAAATATTTGCCCCTCCTCCTTAAATTTTATTTAACTATAAAAAGAGTTTTTTGACCTTTGAAAAAATCCAAGCAAATATGACTGGCAACGTCTCTCTAAGAAAACCAAAGTGTTTTCACTGCATGAAGATGGTTGATTTCAGGGCACAGGAAGTATGTGATCAGTGTTGGGTTACTGAGCAGTGTGGTGGCTATTCATTGTCAGTGAGAGAAACGTCACTTCAAAAATGCCCAATCTTATACATTGAGGAACAAAAGCCAGGCAAGTCAAAATCTCGGCTGGCTGCTTCCAGGTGCATTCCTAAGGCAGCTGCAGGAAGGTGAACTGGAGTCAGAAGCAGGCAAGCAGCACTCTGTCCAGCCAAACCATTAACCCTTTCATCTCAGTCTCCAGCTGAAGCTCTGTTCACACAGATGTCCACACGCATGTTACACAGCCACATACTTCCCTTAGGCTATGAACCTTAACTCAGACATTCTGGTCCAGAAATGGAGTAACACTCCTGACTCACCATCCTCTTTGAGAGTGTTTTCAGAGGCAGAAGGACAATCCCAGCAGCTTTTATTAGTTCATCAGCCTATGTTTTTAAGCCCTTTTCCTGGTTAATAAGACTTGATTTCTTTTCAAGTTTGTCATAAGCAATTCTCATTTAGATAACAAAGGAACAAGAAGGAAAACTTCAAATGTTTTAAGATTAATTTTTGTTTTAATTACACAAGGCACATGACCAGAAACAGCCAATTAGAGAGCTTACTTATCAAATCCAAATAACTGAAACAAAAAGTCACCCACGACTGATATTCGGGAAGTGAATACTGTGGTTTCTTGTGCAGTCGTAAATCAGACATGTTAGGTATTTTTCTGCCATAAAATTCATGGAAATGTAGCCAAGTTGTTATGGCAACCATACGTTCCTAATTTAGGGGCTTTTATATTCTTTAAATATTGAGTTGTGGTGGCCTTTTGCATTTCAAACATTTTACTGTTTGTTTTTTTTAAACATAGCTTGGGAATTTATGTTTAGAACATAGTTATTAAGTTTGATATGCAAAATGTCAAGGGTTGTACCCATGTGTGTGTGACCATGCAGCTGAATTCTATAATTGAAATAAAATATTACAGCATGCGTAGGCACTGTACACAATATTTAAATACTTTCCACATTTTCTCAAGAGATTTTTCAAAAACTTAATTAAAAGCACTTGCAGACACTAACCAGTATGACCCATGAGAACAAGAGCATTAAAGTGCACTCTTTGAAGAGTGGGAACAAGACTGAGAGAATGTGACTTTTAAATACTTTAATAAATAATGAGTTAATGAAACACATGGAAAAGAATGATCTCTTCCCCTCCCCTCCAAAATAGTTACAGACTGTATGTAGCCTGGTCATTTTGATGGAAGTGTCTTCCAACCCTCCTGCAGACTTGCACTGTCTGTCAAAATAAAGTACACAGTCACTTCTTTGGCAGTGTCCTGCAATTTGAATAATAATAATAATAATAAATTATTATTATTATTATTATTATTATTATTATTATTATTATTATTATTATTATTAGGTCAAAGAAAATTACTTAGAACAAGAACAAAGCCCCCAAAACCTTCGGTTTTGTCTTTCTGTCTCTGATGCAGTTCTGCCCTGTTTCTCTAGGTCGAGTTCAAGTTGGTTGCCGGGAACTGCGCTCCACCAAATACATTTCTGATGGCCAGTGCACCAGCATCAGCCCTCTGAAGGAGCTGGTGTGCGCGGGCGAGTGCCTGCCCCTGCCGGTGCTTCCCAACTGGATCGGAGGAGGCTATGGAACAAAGTACTGGAGCCGACGGAGCTCACAGGAGTGGCGGTGTGTCAACGACAAGACGCGCACCCAGAGAATCCAGCTGCAGTGCCAGGACGGCAGCACACGCACCTACAAAATCACGGTGGTCACGGCCTGCAAGTGCAAGCGGTACACCCGCCAGCACAACGAGTCCAGTCACAACTTCGAGAGCATGTCGCCCGCCAAACCCGCCCAGCACCACAGAGAGCGGAAAAGAGCCAGCAAATCCAGCCAGCACAGCCTGAGCTAGAACTGGACTGACTAGAAAGCATCTGTTACCCAGATTTGATGGCTTGGAAGACTCGAGCCTGCCATTGCTCTCTCCTCACTTGAAAGTATACGCTTTCTGCTTTGATCAGGCCCAGCAGGCTGTCCTTCTCGGGGACCTTCTCTGGGACTAGCTTTTCCTTTGCAAGTTTCTCAAAATGTAATGAGTACAGTTTTCAGTGAAAGCCAGGCATTCTGTCGTTTCCATTCTTAAAATGTACCTGATGCTGTTTAAACATCCTCAGTTTACAGTTTAAAACGCACCATTCACTACCCCACCCTCACCCTTCCCAAACAAAACCCCTTCCAGCCAGAAAAGTTCATTGAAAAATGTATCTTCACAAAACATTTCAGAAAGGGGCTTTTCCAGTAATTTTCATGGGAATAGTTTGGCAGCCAGGGGCTAGCTTGCTTTGAAAGAGAGGCAAACCTTGTGATATTTCACTTCAAAAAAAAAAAAAAAAAAAAAAAAAAGCCCTGTAGCTTTTTACAGTCCCAGTGTGAAATTATCCCCTGCATGTTGACCTTGCTTGGAATGGAATGCCAGCAATGCATGGCAGCAGCTAATAAGCAAAGCGGATTATTTATTTTTCAATGTTGTTATTTAATGAGCTTTCACATGTGATTTTTTTCAAAATGTTAATTTTTTTATGTTTTGAAGCTGTTTCATGTACCTAAATATTACCCAATATGATTTGTGGTTGGTCTAGAAATATAAAAATACATGTTGTAGATATGTAAAATAAGTATTTTAGTCTCCTTATACATTACTCATTTCACCATAAACTTTGTCTGTAGCATGGTTCTCTGAAATATGTAACATTTTATTATTTAGTCCATGCAATCAGAAGGCACCTTGACCTTTAATGCCGTTGGCTTCTTTTGGAAAATATAAATACGGCTAAATGTTATTGTCCTTGTCTCTAACATGAATAAAAAGGTACATGCTTGCAAACATTGTAAAATAAAGTTGTAAGTGTAACTGGCTATTTTTGTTGCTGCTGGGGATCAGAATTAGGGCCAGGTTAGTGCTGAGCTTCCATACCCAGAACACTGTCCCCACATAAGTCACATTCAAGCTTTGATAGACTACTTGCATTAAAGGGGAGGAGAAGGGAGGGGGATGACTGAGTTGCAAGGAGCACTTCCAGACTGGTAATCTCAGGGTGGGAGAGGGCATTGAACTCAGTTTTTCATTTTCCAGATTATCACCATGTGCAGCTAAGTTTGAGAGGAAAGGAAGAGTAATGGGCACAGCAGCTTACCTTAGGGAACTTTGAACATTCTTACATGGCCTCAAGTCACAAAAAAGAAAAGAAAATTTCCAAGCTAATTTTATAGTTTCCTCAGTTTAGCATACTGTTAGACTGAGTAACATAATGTCAGTCTTGAATTAGATCACCTGGTTGGTTCTGGGTTAACATCACATATGTAAACAGGATGATGTCATAGCTGAAACAGAGATAAGAAAAGAGCTTCAGACTACATAATAATATTAACTGTTGTATTAATGATAAACAAATGGCAGTTTACTACTGATTTACCTTCCAGATCTTAAACTGTTATGCAGTATATCATATCAATGCACGTGGCATTCACAAGTATTTTACTATATGAAAATGTGACATTTCATACCTGTCTTCTTTGCTAAATCACAGGAACTTGCTCTGACATTGGCTTTTCAGACCCAAGAAGACCCTGCCTTTCATTAAACAAACCCTGAAGGGAGGTCTCAGTAGATAGAAATAAAGCAAGAACAAACTCTGATTATCAGAGCACAGAGCACGGCTCACAAACAAGACTTCCAATAGTCTCCACTGAACCGAGAACTCGATCTATTTTTCATGTTCACCTTCAATCTGCAGTCCCTATCTGGCCATGTTACACTGGTGACACACTCACCGTGTGGTGTTTGATGCTAAAGGAGAGGGAAAATGTCAGCAGTTGGAAGGGCCTAGGGTGCAGTCTCTTTCAGTGAAGGAGAAATGAGAAGTCAACAAAAAGGGGCTGGTTTTGGTTGATATCTTTAAAAAACCTCTGTGTCTGGAGAGCCTTTTACACTTTAGGTCTTTTTTTAAACAGTTAAGTCAGGTGATAAGCTGTATATAATTTTACTATCACCTTAGTAACTATCACTTCAAAATGATAGACTGTGCTACTTTTAGCACAGAATGTCTTCTAGTTTCCCTCCAAATATCTATCCCCAAAGACGTTTACTTATCAAATTTATTTTGGTTACTATGGATGAAGGGACTTTTTATTTGAACTTTGAAATCAGTTTTATTTGATTGACGTTTACTTTTTTATTAATTTATTTTTTACATTCCAATCTCAGTTACTCCTCCTATTCCCCCCACTCCCCCCCCCACCTTCAATCTGCTCCTTGGAGAGGGTAAGGCCTCTTGTAGGATACCTACTAAGTCTGTTCCATCATCTCATTGAGGCAGGACCAAGGCACCTCCCCCCCAACACACACACAACCCTGTGTCTAATCTGCACAAGGTATCTCACCATATAGAATATGCTCCATTAAGTCAGTTTGTGCATTAGTGTTAGAACTTGAACCCACTGCCAGTGGCCTCGTATATTGTCCTGGTTGCACCATTGTCGCCTATATTAAGGGAGTCTAGTTGGGTCTTACGAAGGTTCCCTATTTGTCAGACCTGAGTCAGTGATCTCTCACTAGCTGATTCTGTGTGTTTCCCCATCATGCTCTTGACTCCTTTGTTCATATGGATAAAGGGACTTTCAGAGTAGTTTAATAGCCATGTAGATGGTTACATTGATGCTTAGAGACGTGGTGGGAAGTTATACATACATGCATATCTGTAGTGGTAGGGAGGAATAAGTGTATTTGCAAGTGAATAATATGGATATGCTGCACTTAAACATTTAAAGCCTTTAAAGTGTCTACTTGTAGGGCCAGCAACATGGTGCCTGTTACCAAGTCTGGCAGTGTGAGTTCAATCCCCAGGGCCTACATGGCAGGAAGAGAGAAATCCTTTGACTTCTACCTGTGTTTGTCTGCATACCCCCAAACATACACTAAATTAAATAACTAACTAAATAACTTTAAATCTATTTGTAAAAATTAATATTTTAGTTGCTAGTCACTATTATTTGCTAATTACATTAATTGAGCCTAATGAGTCTGCACTTGAGAGTGGAGTTAGGAGAACCAGAATTTCATGACTAATTTCAGTTACACAGGGAGATTGATACCTGTCTCAAAACAGCAACAATAAAAACTAAAAGATAACAATCGGAACACTTTGATAATCATCTTTATTTTGCTGTCTTTTTAAAAATTCATCAAATTTAGTATATAAATGTGGTTAATTAAAAAGACACAATGTCTGATGGAGATGAAGTTCAGTTAGTAGAGGGCTGGTCTAACACGCACAAAGTTCTGGATTCAGTCCCCAACACTACAGAAAAACTGGGCATGGAGATGCATGTCCCTAACCTCAGTGGTAGCTGGGAGAGGCAGGAAGATGAAAAATTTAAGGTCATTCTTGGCTACATAGTGAGTTTGAGGCCAGCCTGGACAACATGATACCCTATCTCTTTGAAATATAGAAAACAAAAAATCCAAACAAACAAACAAAACAAAGCTTAGTTCATTCCTGTCATTTCTTAAATGCTAAAGGATAATGGAATATTTTATTGTGTAATAAGGCATGTCTATCAAATGTGGTGTTTTTATTAGACACATTGAATGTTGACACAAAGAAGTTGTAAGAAAATAGAATCTAGCAGCAGAAATTTTTAAAAGATTTTTATTTATTTATTATATATACAACATTCTGCTACCATGTGTATCTGCACACCAGATGAAGGTACCAGATCTCATAATGGGTGGTTGTGAGCCACCATGTGGTTGCTGGGAATTGAACTCAGGACCTCTGGAAGAGCAGTCGGTGCTCTTAACCTCTGTGCCATCTCTCCAGCCTGCAGCAGAATTTTTTTTAAAATTGCATAATATTGAAAAAATTAAAGTGTTTAATAGTTTCCTTTTAATAGGTTTGTTTTTTTTACAATCATTAGGAATCTCTTGGTATTAAATTTTAGTTCATTTTTTTTTAAATTAGAGCACCATTTGGATCATATTTAAATTTCAACAACACTTGCTAGTTTTAAAATAGTAATTCATTCCATACCCTAAACCCAACACTTAGCAGCTTTCCTACTAACACAATCTTAGTAAGAAATGAAAATCATCTAGGTGACCACCAGTAGATGTTTTAACAGTTCTGTGTCTGGTTTCCTGACCTTCTTGAGTTCTTGTCTTGGTTTCCCCCAGGATAGACTATGATCAGGTCGTGCAAGCCAAGTAACCGTTTCTCTCGAAGGTGCTTTTGCTTATGGCATTTATCAAATAAATAGAAGGCAAACCTGGACAAAGAGATTTTTTATTTTTATTCATGTGTACATGTATGTGTCTGCATGTGAGCATGGACAGGTGCATGTGTGTGCACGTGAGTATGGACAGGTGCATGTGTCTGCTCGTGAGTATGGACAGGTGCATTGTCTGCATGTGGGTATGTACAGGTGCATTGTCTGCATGTGAGTATGGACAGTTGCATGTGTGTGCATGTGAGTATGGACAGGTGCATTGTCTGCATGTGGGTATGTACAGGTGCATTGTCTGCATGTGAGTATGGTCAGGTGCATGTGTCTGCATGTGAGTATGGTCAGGTGCATGTGTCTGCATGTGAGTATGGACAGGTGCATGTGTCTGCATGTGAGTATGGACAGGTGCATGTGTCTGCATGTGAGTATGGACAGGTGCATGTGTCTGCATGTGAGTATGGACAGGTGCATGTGTCTGCATGTGAGTATGGACAGGTGCATGTGTCTGCATGTGAGTATGGACAGGTGCATGTGTCTGCATGTGAGTATGGACAGGTGCATGTGTCTGCATGTGAGTATGGTCAGGTGCATGTGTCTGCATGTGAGTATGGACAGGTGCATGTGTCTGCATGTGAGTATGGTCAGGTGCATGTGTCTGCACGTGAGTATGGACAGATGCATGTGTCTGCATGTGAGTATGGCCAGGTGCATGTGTCTGCATGTGAGTATGGACACATGCATGTAGGTACACACAAGAGCGTGACAGATCCCTGGGAGCTGGAGTTAAAAACTGTTGTAAACCATCTGATGTGAGTACTGACGATTGAGCTGAGATCTGTTGTAAGAATCTAAATCATTCTTAATCTCTGAGGCACCAGTACAGCCTGCCTTCCGTTTTAGTATTCATTGTTGTGTGCATGCACCTACAATCATGTGGCCAGCACACATGGTAGTC